TGAGCCCACCACGCTACTGCAAGTTAGCAGGCTTTATCTTCGTGGTGAAAACCAGGAGACCAACGAAAAGTAAAACTTATTAAATGACGCGTAAGATATTTAACTTAACTCGAAAGATAGATATTTAGAACGACCTTATAAAAATTAAGATTAACTTATGAATGAAATGTTAATTTTCTTGTGTAGGTAAATTATTGTTGTATTGTTAAACCCAATATTATAAAAATCCCGAAATAGTCGTCGGTCCGTCTATTGACTACATTCTATCTATAGACAAGCTTTTAGAGCGAAGAGCGTGTCGGATTGGGATATGCATCGAGCTGTAACTTTGTAATTGGGCTGCATTCCGATGCCTCCCACTGAGAAAAGCTGCGCTTGCACATGGATCTTACTACATTATTCCTTTGTCCAAAAACTACTAAACTGCATATAGCTTTATACAGTGCAACCTCGATATAACAAATCGGAGGGAACAAGAAAATATTCGTTACATCAAGTAATTCGTTGAACTGAGGTTTGTTATGTTGAGGTTAAATTGGTCTAAAATTCGTTATAAAGAGGTAAAAGAATAGTTTTGTTCACTTCAATGTTTCGCTTTTCTGCAACCGATAAGGATCACCTTTTACGTTTCTGAGCCATTTTAAATTAAATAATCAGAGGTGTTTACATTACTTTCCATCAAAACGACAATGATTACTTTACACGCGTGTTGAAACATGAAACACATTATAAGATTATACGTATAAAGGTTTTGGGTTGACAAAATTCGTTATAAAGAGGTTGTACGCAATGTAAAGGTATAGTTTATATTGAGTCTTATGGACAATTCAAGGGGATAACGAAGAATTTGTTAAATCGAGGAAGTCGTTATATTGAGGTACGTTATATTAAGGTTGCACTGTAGTAGCATCATATACGTTCTTCACATGACAGATTTTGTTTGTCCTTATATAACCTAGACATAGTACACAGACAAATTATTTTTAAAAGAAGTTACTGATAAACTACTTAATTATAACTTTTATTAACTCACGCTTACAATATTAGCACTGATTTTCGTTTACTTCTAAGTATTTTTGAAAATATGGAAATATAAGCTCGGTGCATTACCAACCTTATGCGCTGAGAGTTTTATGATCATTTACGTTATCGACTATCTCCAAGTCTTAAATGAACACTGTCAGTGAAGATTGTCAACTATGCAATGATTTTTACGAAAGTTTGACGAAAGGCCGAAAGTGCATAAACATAAAAAAACGTTTTTATGCTTTTTTATTTTTTTTAATGATTTTCCTATTCGAAAATGAATTAATATGAAATAAAGTTACATAAGCAACATTGAATTTGATATTGCAAAAAATCAAACGAAATTCAAAGCAAATGAAAAAACGATAATTAACAAAACAGTTCCGACTCGAGCGAATTAAACTATCTGAATAAAATCTCATAAATAAGCGATTAATTTTAATCAACGTCCATTTGAAGAACTCGAGGGCAATGCAAAAAATCCTTTACGCCTCACTCGGGGTCGTCGCACGCGCATCGCAAGCCACGCTCTTTGATCGCGCCGCGCCATTTATAAGCTATCGGCTTTAATCGCTTGTACATTATTAACATGTTTATTATTTTGCTTAGCATGTGTTCGGTTTAGTATGACTTGAAGGAATTTAATACAATGGTTTCCTAAGGTCTCATTCCAGCCACAAAAATGTAGCTTCAAATACTGTTAAAGCAATAAGCACAATATTCAGTTACTGCAAACGGATTGCAAGAATTTGTTCTAATTAAAACCGAGGAGAGCGCCCAAGAATTATAAACCATAAAATGTGTTTATGGCACATCGTCGACGCGAGGTATTTCGTTGAAACGAAAATGCAACTCTACATGTGTCTATGGTTAAACCAGTTTGGAGCTAAGTTAGCACTTTTTTTGAAATGTGGGCTTTGTGCGGCCGCCTACCTGCTGTAATTAGGAGGGGCAATTTGTTCCTCCATACTTCGTTTTTGTGGCGCCGCTCGCCGCAGCCTTCGGCCGGGCCCGCGGTCTCACTCGGATTTTGATTCTACAGATTATAATGGTTTCCGCTTCGATTAAGAATTATTTTGATATCGTGAAACCAGTTCTTTAACTTTTAGGAGGACCTCAACTGTAATTTATTACCTAATCTAAGTAATAGATACTATTTTGTAAGTAGTTTTAAGGTAAAAATCGACAATAAATTGAAAAAATTACGACTCGGGCAGGACTTGAACCTGCCCAGTGTTCCATGCTATTGTTGTAATCAATTGAGCTACCGTCGTCGTCGAATTTACATATTATATTCAAAATTTATGAAATGAACTAGATTGCGCGAGAGGTGCCTCTCGCGCAATCTAGTTTGAAGTTTTGATTTATTAAATTGAAAACTCCATTTCACTATTGATACGAGCAAAACCAAAGTCAGTTACTAGCCATAATTTAATCTCAGTTACTTGTTGTAGCTTAGTAGACATAGTATATTAATATTTAATACTTTTTATCTTTCCCATTGGCCTAATACAGGTCGGTATTTCGTGAAACCAGTAAACACAGCGGAGCATCATAGTCAAGATTTGTGTGTTAAAAACTTTCTTTGTAATGTTAACACCGGGCTTTGTGAAATTAGCCTCGCATACCTGCGTTAATGATAGGGTGCGTTTACACCGAACTAACACCTCACCGGCTCGACAAAAACTGGTGTAATTCAGACCAAAGGCGCCGACGGGAAATGGGTTATCAGAAGTTTCGATTCATTGTTTTTGAAATGCCATTGCGCAAGTGACGGGTTTTGTTTATGTTTAAATGTTGTTATTTGCATTATCTATGGTTTTGTGAAAGGGCTTCGCTTATCGGTATCGCGGCGTTAGATATTATATTGAGTTATTGACATTGTTAGATACTGTTTAATTTGGGGATATAGCTGTCAGATAGACGACCTTACCTATATTTATGATGGAACGCTAATGTTCATAGACTCCGTATTTATGTCAGAGGATTCAAGAGCTATATTCACTGCAGCGTGGATTGGTGAAGTTTACTGGCTCCAATTGCTTAACGTGCTCTGATGAACTAAATAGTGTACACGTATATCACCCGACTAGGGATTTGAACCCCACACCTTGTAGTCTGCAGTCGAGTTAGTAACCGCTAGACCACAGAGGCGGTCCTCGAATTAATATAAGTACTAGCAGGCAACAAACAAACGCATGATTTTACTACAGGTGAACGAACTGTGGCATGGGATAAATTCGTGAATGGACCGTCCCACAAAGAGATCTAAGATAGAGGTCAGATAATAAGATTTTTGTTTTGAGCTGGGAATGCTAAATTCGACCTTAGTTGAGCGGGTTAAGAGACATTCTAAATTTAGCGCGAGCCATAGACGAATACGTGTTTTTCGTATTGTAATAAATGAAATTTTTAATAAAAAACGTGTACCGAGATCGTAGATACCCCTATTCGCAAAAAGACATCTCTGAAATAGCTCATTTACCGGTTAGAATACAAATTTCGTAATAATCAATTCTTCTATAACATCCTACATAGGTATTATGGTCTAAAGAATTTTAGTAGATGTAGAGTAGTTCTTTGCTCTAGGGCGACCTCATTACTGTTCTTATTAAAACCAACGCGTTAATTTCACTACAGATAAAACCAACACGAACTGTTAATTTCACAGACAAACTTGATTTGATTCAATTAACATATTATGTTGTCTGTAGTTTACGCTAGTAGTTCACGTAAAACAAACATTTATAACTGTTTAAAACGCTTAATATATTAACTAAGACTACTGTTTCCAGACTTCTCATTTAATTATTAACTAAAATAGTTTGGTTGTAGAGAATATTAATTCTACACTATTGTGTATAAAAGACACTGTAAAAAATTCAAAGCCATTAAAAAACTTGATCCGCAAAATCGAATGGGACGCGTGTACTTGTTTACAATGAAATACTCTTTGAAGACGCCGATAACGATACACATCGCCACTTAGCACACGATAAGACGTATAAATAAAAATAAATTGCTGCTCTTTAGGCAAAGGCACCGCTATCATTTAGATAGGCCGATCGCCGTTGCGCGTTCGAACATTTATTTACTGGAGAATAAATATAAAACCATAAAATGCAAATATAATTTTATCCCTTTTATGTTATTGCTGTTTGTAATCTACCATAATGAGAATAAATTACAAACACACTGCTAAAAGTTTTTCTAACATTTATATTAAGTGATTGAAAATAAAAATATACTTTCGTCAACAATGTCCTTATTTTTTAGTGAAATAAGATAACTACCGTGTTTAACAGAAGTTACCAAGTAATAAGTTTAAAAGTAACTCCTGCGCCGGCGCACCAAATGAGACCAGTTTATATTTCTCAAGAATCACGATCACTTTGATCAGCCGCGATCTTGATAAATGGCTTAGCCTCGTACAATTATAACGATATCCAATGTCGAAAATTAATTGAATTGCTTCGATTTAGTTGTTCAAGCTGGTTTGGAACATTTATAACGAACCTCTTTTACTCATAATAATTAAAATATGGTTAACAACTCGTGTGTTGAAAACATCTGCGTCATTAACTTTAAATTTGTGCGATTAATTATTACAATTAATGTGGAAGGAACTTTACATATTATGGGGTATTCGCGGCCGCATTTAGGTTTTTGCTAGAAAAAAGTAGGTATTTCCACGAAGCTTACAAAGCTGAAAGACTTACAGAATTTTGTATTTCTTCGAGTTTCCAACTCTAGTAAGAATCGACAATTTGATTTTAAGTACACAACCTTTACTGAATATTAAGAAAACTGTTTTTTATTTATAAAATAATATACGATTACTATTTTTTACATTTAGAAAAAAAAAACAATACCAGTGGTTTAAAATCCTCAGTCAGATTTTAAAATTAAGAATAGACACTGGAAAACATTCTCGATTTAAAAAACAAGTCAAATCAAAATAAAATCATTCATACCGCTTCTTCAGCTTCCTTCTGGTCCCTGTGCCCCATTAGGTTGGGCATCGCCGTCCAGTTGTATCGCAGATCCTGGCATTGTGACAATTTGATCCTCTCACACTTTCCACCTTCAGCCTCCTCCTGATCGGCAGCTACCAACCAGGAGAGGAGTAAAAAACACAGAACGCGAACCATCATAATCCCACAGAAATTATATAAAAAATAATAAAGTTATTTTGAATCATATTCATTGAACTCAGTCACAAAACACTTATCACAATCGTAAAAGTTATAATGCTATCGAATTTAATCCAACCGACGTCCTATTTCGAACGCCGTTCGAAGTGGACTGATTCAAATTTCGAACGCGGCGCGCCGTCAAAGGACAATGCCGAAACCGGTCAGCCGGTGAGGCAGCCGGTGCGTTCTCAACGTGCATAAATGTTTCGATAAGAGCTCTAAATTTCTGAAAGGGCGCTATGGGTTGAAAGAAATAGCTTTATTAGTTAAATTATTTAGTATTTGAGATATATGTCAAAATGCGACGTTCAAGCACTTCTTAGCTCTTTTGTTCTAACTTTAGTTTACAGTTTATTTCTCACCATAGAATTTACAAGTTAGGGATTTTTTATGTACTAAAGTTTACACAATCGACAGACACTTAAATTGACTAAAATTTCATATAAGTTAAAAGTGCAAGAAGGGCCATCATATTGTTTTAATATATCTTACAGACATTCCGAGTAAAATACACAATTAGACCTCCTCATTACATCACTTCAATAACACCTTAAAAATTCTAAAGAATTGACTCAAAGTGAGCTTTAACACTTTGTAATAAAGTTCTTAATGGTTATACGTCGCGTATATCTCCCTCGTATATCGTGACCATTATAAGTTGCTCCGTAAAAGGAACGGGTTTCCTTTAATGTTGAAAGGTTCAGAAGGGTCTCTCTATTATGAACAGGGGAATGAATAGTTGCATTGTTAGAGCGGGACGGCAGTCAAAGGCGCCGCCAGCGCGTACGCAGCCCGGACGAGAGCGGAATGCCTAATTAAGGACGCATGCGTGGACTGCGGGCTGTGGTGCAAAGGAGATAAAGAAAACATTTATATCTATGGAAAACTTAAAATCGCATATTTTCATATATATTTTTCTTGAGTCCAAAGTCAAAATGGACGACGCGCATCTTCCTTATATGGCTGTGGTATTTCATCTACCATCAAGTGTACCCCGCGCTTGTCTGTACTCCTCTATCAGTGAAAATCATCTTAGAGTTCTCGTTTCAACGTTTCGTGTTTTCGATTATCTTATTTGTGACACTTGATCACCTTTTACGAAATTATCTGACGTGATTAGATGCGATTTATGAAAAAGATATCATTATCAGTTCATCAGTTACGAATATTAAATTCTTGATAAATACAGATATAAAACAGAAACTCTCCGCCACTCACAACGTCTGGCGCTGAAAGACGTACGATTCTTGGATTACTTGGCTTATTGTTCAATGAGATTAAGAGCCATTCTTAAGATTAAGTTTATCGACATAACAACACGATTTTCAACGTCACGGTTCAACGTGTTATCTTTTGTAAATTATGCTGTCAAGTATAAACTTTTTATGTTTTCGGCGATAAGCTCATGACTTGGACCACAGGCGCAGTGCACAGGGCAAAGAATCGTAATTAAAACGTCAGATATGGGCTGGCGGCGCTCGATTGATGGCCATGCAAATGTTGGCAGGAAGTGCCTACTGAATTACAATACGCCAATGTAACCGAAACGAAAACCGGTCACTGCGCAAGACTTTTATCCAGCTCTTTAAATTACAGACTACGACAGTTGACAACAGATACAGCGTTTGAAATAGAGTTACAATGAATTTATCGAGAACTGTAAACGCGAGTAAAGATGTTGTGTTATAATTACGAATAAAAAAGAAAGGGTTAGATTGAAAGATCAATGATTTTCTTAAGCTGTCAAGCATAGGACATTAAACCTTAATGGCAAGGATTTCGGTTGAAATTACGTAGCGCGAGCGGTGCATGCATCAATAGGTTGAAAAAATCGACAATGACGTTTAGAACATAGTATCTTAACTGATTAGGGCAACAGCACGGAACACTGTGGATGCCGGTACAATTCCCGCCCGGGTCGTAATTTTATTTTTCAATCTAAAAATTTAAGTAGAGTAAAGGAATTTAAGTCGTTGTCTAAATTGTCAGATGGCTTGCTTACTTTTGTTAGTCCGTTGTTTATGTTGAGCACTCGAAATAACACACTTAAACCGACGTTCAGCAAATTTGTAACAAAAACTTAATGACCTTGGAAGATGACTGGCCATCATCGTGCCAGCGGTTTATTAGCGGTTCTGGTTCCAAAAAGCGGGCAGTCGGGATGGAAGGACACAATTATTGTTGCGGGCCGAGCGCGATCGAGGGTCGTAGACACAATTAAGTGAATTCGCCGTTGGGTGACAAAAACAAGCTTATTTGCGGGACTTTTGGGAGACCATCGTTCTGCATTTCACGGGATAACTCTTTGAATATTAATATTAAATACTAGATGCGTCAGCGACTTCGATTAGATCCTCCATTATAGCCGTTATCCACGACGTCCATGGCGTCCCGTCGTTCTTGCATGTTAACCTTAATAGGTAGTGTCGCGGATATCTTTTAATCAATTAGATAGAGAGGAGTCATTCTTTCTTAGATATTGGGTATCGTATGACCGTTTTCGCAGCGTACGCAATGAAAACCCACAAAGGTTTTATGTATTTGTTCACAATTATATTACTTCACAATTCGCAGTTTGAATCGTCGTCTTCTATGTACTATTGTACATTTCATAAAATGCTATTTTTATCGACACTATACTAACCCCAACATAACACTTGAAATATAGTTTATATATTCCAATGTTTCAAAACGTATAAAACGTAATGGTCACCGCAGGAGTATAATTTAAGCGGAATGCAGTCGGGAACAAAACTTCGTCACGCAAAAACTATGACGAACGGACTGGGCCTTTTTGTTGTGACCGAGTTTCGGCGGAACCCTCGGTCAGCTTATTATATGATCTGATGCCGCTTAAAGTGGGATGCTTCAAAAATTACTGCTATAGACGACCTGTGCCCAAGTATTCGAATATCACAGACTTTTTTTTTTGGATTAAGGCGAATCGGAAAAAGTGTAATCGTTCTGCAAGGATAACATATTTTTGATTTCATTATCCCTTACACGAGTATAAATAAAAATAAAAACAAAAGGTTTCGTGGTTAAAAATACAAGTTTTGCATTTCGGGTCACAGCACAGCACGGTCAAAGTTACAAATTAAAACCTAGAGGCTCTATATGTACATTTACTAACAGTTGCAATTACAATTTAATAAACATTCTTTCTTTCTTGATACTTTACAAACTTAATATTTTGTAAAACTATTGTTTAATAAACGTCGCGGTGCCCATTCAAAAGGGTAACTCAACTTATTACATTTAAATGTAGCAACTGATGTTGTCAACATGTCATTTGTTACATTGTATGTATGTTGGAGAAAAATAAAAGTTGACCTCCCGTCGTGCGAGTAGGTGCTAAAGCCTCATCCATAACACCAGTCGGGGGTAGTTTAAAAATTTTTGTCAAATCAAATAGGTGAATCTTCATACATTATTTATAGCTGAAATTATAACTTTTATTGTTTAAATAAAAACTTTAACTTATTTTAAAACGGTTTAAACGATAAATTAGTTAAACATAAAAATGATTTTTAATTACCCGACGTTAAAGTAAAGTGTTTTATTGATTTATACACTCCGTAAATATAACAGTATTTTATTATAATTCTAAAATAATTTATTGTCTCATACTATTGCTATATGCCCGCGAGTGTATTTTGTTTTTGAGTGTAATGTCGCGCTATCGAACAAAAACTTGGCTATGTTATTCTTCAATTACGGTTTAATTAAAACTTTTGTTAACATTTTAAGGGGTCTAAAGGGCAAAATACAATTCCTTTTGTATGAAATTCAATGCCATAAGACAAATATTTACATAATTTATAATTCTATCACCTTTTATAAATTCGTAGCTGTTACCCACGTGGTTATTCTTGCAACTTAATCTTAAAAGATATTCATATTCTGTCGTGGATATTTTTAAGATCGCGTAAAAAGGATCATTCTTTCATACTATTTTTTGAATATCTTAAACCGTTTTCACAGCGCTCCCGGAAACCCTCAAAAATGACTAATTTTTCCCATTTCCCACGCTACATTTAATGCTAAACCGTGTATAAGTTTCTAACCAACACAAAAAAATCTTTCATCCAGTATTCCAGAGATTACGTTCAAACAAACAAACAAACTCTTCAGCTTTAAAATTAGTATAGATGTAGGTAACTTACTTATTTTTTATTGATATTACTGCTTTAGTGCACCAAATAAACTTTTATTCCGTAAGCCAAAATGTGGAGGCTGCAACATCATGACTATCGTCACTTTTTTTAATAATTCTTTCGTACTCTAGATACAAGTGAATTTTAAGCAGTTACTGCCTTAGAGTACAGAATAATCCGGTAGGCGTTGTAGCGGTTATTAGAACTAATATCTCATTAAATAAACGGCCAATGTAGGTAAGTCGGACCGTGTCATTTTTAAATACTAGCCCCTTCCGGCTCGCACGGGTAACTAAGTACAATATTTAATTAATCTAATTAAAAACTAGAACTAATTAGAAAAAAATGTATGGCGCCTCCTCTCGTAAGACCGTGGTCTTCTCCTGGTTCATAGTTATGCAAAGTGTATTGCTATTAAATAATACTTTGAAAATATTTTTAAGTGAACATAAAAAATGTTAAAAAAAAAATTTACGGCTAATTTTACGCCTTCGTTGGTTTTAGTAAGAATTTCTTTAGATGCCTATAGTACAAACAAGCCTATCATAATGTAGTTCTAATGAAAAAAATTATTAATCGGTCATACTTTTGAGTTTATTCGTTACATACAAAAATAAAATCTTTCCTTTATAATATAATACATTTGTAGAAAACCGATTGATTTTATAACCTCTTTTTAGTTTTTCTTTAACAAAATTAAATATTTTAAACTATTCAATCTGTGGAAATTCATATACATATTTGTTGAGTTTAGAGGTTATGTTATAGCAACAGAAAAATGAGAATTTATGAAAATTTTAA